TGGATGGAGCCAGTCTGGTCTCTCGATCGGTGACGGTGCCAGGCCAGGCCGCAGTAGCCTCGCTGACGTGCCATCCGCCTGGCGGTTGACAGACTGATTGGCAGCTGTTGTGTGCAGTGCACACCGTAGGGAACACAGAGGAGCCCATGGCAAGTTCTGCACGCCCGGAAGTGTCCCTCCGTGCAGCTTCACTGTCGGACCCAGAACGAACACAAGGCTGCCTCTTTTGGGTGCCGTGTCCCAGGATGGCAGGAGCTGTGTGCTTGGAGAAAGGAAATTGGCCAGGAGTGACTGGCAGGGAACCATGAGTTTCCCTGCTCTCCCGCCTGCCTCATGGGCCGTCTGGTCCAAGCAGGCCACAGTTTATTACAGCTTAGTTCTGTCCTGTTCCTTGCCCCCTGGGTTTGGTTACTGGTGAGACCATTGTGTCTTGCCAGTGTTCTTAGAAACATATTCATAAAGTGAATTTTAAAAATAAAGTGAGTCATCCGTTAAGGTCAGAAGAGCACTCCCTCTCCTCCTTAAAGAAGACTTTGGTGAATCCTTGAGAAAGAAGTAATGATTTTTATGGAGGCCAGAATCAAATCTCGATTGATCTGGCTTGTAAGTCTGGAGATTGAGTGACAGATTCTCTTAAAGCGGGCCCCAGACTGTGGCATAGCTGGAGAAGTGATGCCCGGGGTAAGGTGCTGGGCACAGACCCCAGGGCACAGTGCACACTGCAGTGTGGGAGGCTGGGCTTGACCCAGCTCCTCTGGTCTTGGTGGTTGAACACGATGGGATGCATTTCCTTCTGTGCTCTTCATACTCCAGTGCCTTGCAGAGCATTTGCTTCTTTATCTCTTTTGGAGCAGGTAAGGGCTTGATGGAAGAACTAACCACATCGTTGCTCCTTTGATTTTTTGAGCCCAAGATTGCAGTTAGAAACTTCACATTTGATCCCGTTCTTATTTTCTTTCATACCATTTATTCTCAATATGTTATTTGTAATTCTAGTTAATCAGCCCTTGACCCCAGGAGTTCAGACTGAGGGAGATTCTTATATAAGGGAAGACATCTTGTTAAGTCTGTGACTCCTGCAGGGGCATTCCTTTCCCACTTCGTAGTGAAGCCACAAACCCTCCTATCCCCTTTAGAGCCCAGGCAGAGTCCAGTGTTAGAGTCCGTGGGTTCTTGGAACAAGTAAATGTGTGCCTTCCAGGGAGGAAGAGAGGTGGTTCGAGGCATACAGCTCTTCTGCTAGCCAAGCACATCTCCCCAAATCAGGCGGACAGAGGCCCTTAGTCTGCACTGGTTACCAGGACCCTGCCCCACAGCACTTGGGGTTTTCGCCTGTGTTCAGGATCACTACGCGTCACTACGCATTACTTTAAAAAATATTCAGCAAATCGAGGTTTTCCTAATTTTAGATTGGTCCTTTCCTCATATCTTTATGTGTTGTTGAGATTTTCCTGGTTGTAGAGATAATTAGTAGATTTAATTGATTAGAAAAGGTTCTAAATTGAGAACTCAGAAAAATCCTAGGTCCTTCATGGAAAGGAGAAAACTGAAATGAATGAACAGATAGCAACAATGTAACTGAAGGAAATACTCTGATTACTCCAGAGAACAGACCTGGAGTGGCTGTCCTGGAATGGCCTCTGCTGGTCACTGAAGACCCCGGCCTCCCCACACACCATGTAAGACTCCCACGCCCTCAGGTATAAGATGGAAGTTAAAAGAATAGATTGTTTTATTTCTCTTCCCCTTTCATTTTATTCTTGCTGGTTAGTGGAGAAATGATCTTGGATAGGAAAACTACATTAGAATTTTGATAAGTTGCTTTTTTGAAATAGTTGTTTCCATGCCACAGACATTTGGAGAGGAGTATGTTTATTGAAGTACATTTTTATAGAAAATATTACAGAATCTGTAATTGAAAACTTATGGCAGTATTTTGTGGAGTGATATGTTCTTAATGTTAATTTGTGGATTCGCTCTGAACTCCCTTCTGCTGTTTTAGAACCATTGGCTGGGTGAACATTTTCCAAGAGTCTTTTCAGATCTAAACTGTGTTTCATGGAATGGAGTGTTTGGTCCTTAAATAATGTATAAATCCAGTTGGACGGGAGCTGCCTGTCAGCTTTATTAACTTTGACCTTTTCTCCCATTATAAAGGTGGTTCCGTTAATATTTAATGGGCCCCTTATAGATCTTGACAGTCAGAGCCGTGTTCCTGGAAACTGGGATCTGTATATATGATTAACAAATGCCACTTAATCATTATGAGGCAGCTTGCAAGGGCAGATTTTGTTTTGGGAGAAGAGTCCTTCCACCTACATGTGCTCTCAGAGCTGCACTGTATGTTGAGAGCGTCCAAGATGGTGCAGGTTTCACAGGAACCCTGGAAGAGGAGGCAGCAGTTAGCGTGCACTTGTGCAGTTTGGAGTTTTGTTGTTTGAGCAAATCCGAATGATGCCAGGTGGGCAGAATCCCCCCTGCCACTCTGCATCGTTAGCAGGACTCTGCCTCTCAAAGAGTCAGCAGGGCCGGAATGGCTGAGCTTGCATGGACAAGGAAGGAGAGCCAAAGGGAAAGCCGATTCCTTGAGCCAGGAGGGGCCCCTGCCAAGCTGTCTTTCCTTTTAATTCCATAAAGCCCATGCATATTGCACTCATTGCAAATTCTGGTGGGGAAGATCGAAACCCAAGCAGCTGACATTTCGAAACATTGTCTTTCAAACTTGTACTGTCCCTTGGTTCCATTGATTTCCCATTTAACAAATCTGTAGGAAAAAACCAAATTTGAGCAAAATTCATTGGTCTAAGATGAGTTGTTAGAGCCAAATTCTGCCCCCCCCTTCCGCTCTGCGAAGACCTCGATTGTTGTTATGAAGGCGATATATCTCTGTCTTGTACTGGGCAGCCATAGGCTCCCAGAGCAAATCGACCAAGTAAATCAAGAGCCTGTTACGAAGCAGTGTGGGTGCTGCGGACACAGGCATTTCAGTCTTACTGGGTCACTGGGTATCTTTGTTTTAATAGCCACTTCCAAGAAGGAGATCATTTCAATTGGGTTTGTTTCTTCACTCTCCGTTTATGCGCGGCCCTGTGGCTTTAGGTGAGGCCATTTATTTTTCAGAATGTTATTACCCTTTGCATCCCACCCCTAGCCCTTTATATGTGGTGGTCACCAGTTTCATTACCAACAGCTGTAATGTAGCTGATTCGGCAAAGAAAATCCATGCCTTGGAAGAACATTTTGAAAAGAAATAGATCTGTATGTTTAGTTAATTCTCAATATATAGGTTTTTTGGTTTTGTTTTGGGTTTTTTTTGTTGTTGTTTTTGAGACAGGGTCTCACTGTGTAGTTCAGGCTGGCCTTGAACTTGCGGCGATCCTCCTGCCTCAGCCTCCTGAGTGCTAGGATTGTAGGCATGCGCCACCTTACCCGGCCTAAATGTGTATTTGAAAAGAAGAGGAAACATTGGATGTTATAAATGGTCTCAATCCAGATTCTTAGCCTGGCATTTGCACGTTTGAGTGTTTTATGTACATCTGTTCAAAATTGAGATACCTTTCAAGGCTAATTTTATTACGGAGAGATTGACCACAGCTCTTAGATGCGAAATACAGACGCATAGGATTAGAAAGGGAAGGTAAGTCTTTGTCACGTGTTGGGTTGGTACACAGTATACTTTATTTGGCAGTGAGTGAGAATGATTAGTTGTTTTTAAATCAGGATGGGGAGCTGACTGCACTGGGGCATGAAGGAGCTTTGTACAGGGCTGGAGTGCTGGGCATACCTTTTCTCTGGACTCAGACTACACTGAGAACATGTATGCTACATTTTACCCAAACTATAACTCCAAGTGGTATTTTAAAAGTCTCCTTTGATTTAGAACTAGGCAGCATCATTTCTCTTTCCAACAGAGAAGTTGAAATAACCATAGAGAGTAAAACGGTCTGTCCTAAGTAACTTCAGAGTGCAGCAGTGCGTCCAGGAATAAAGCTAATGATGCTCACACGGAGCCCTTTATAAGTACGCAGCCCCCCCCCCACATTGTTCCAGTTGCGGTGTAAGTAGAAATGAAAGGTTTCTCCAGCCGTCCCTTCAGCGGGCCATATCCATTTGTATGCCTTGTTGCCAGATACATTCTTGCATATATTCTTGGGGTCCATACACCTCCACCCCTGAAAAAGGTAGTCCGTCTCTGAGCGCTGACTCCTGGTATAATTGAGTTTGTATGACCAGCCATGTTGTGGCCCTTCTTTGCTGCCGTAGTCTGAGTTTTGTGGGCTTTATTGTAAGCAAGATGTGTGCTTACTTCGGCAGCACATATACTACAATAATATGCAAGGCGTTACAGTCGTAAGAGTTCTCAGACATCTGTCTCTACAGAAAACCTCTCTATCTTACTTAGAAAAAAATATAAAGAAAGAAAAGGACACTGTTATTAAAACCATTGCCACAAAATATATTTGAATAACAGTGAAAAATGAAAAAGAAAGTAAGCCAGCTGAGGGTGCAGGCCTACATTGCCAAGTTCAAGCCCAGCCCAGGCAATTGAATGACTTAGGGAGTGACTCAAAGTACAAAACAAAGTCAAAACTGAAAAAGGGCTGGGAGGGTAGCTTAGTGCAGAGGCCCTGGGTTTAATTCCCAGTATACAAAAGGAAAAAATGGTAAAAATTACCCAAATTCTGCTAGTCTCTGGAACCTCTTTTTGAGAGTCCCTCTGCTTATAGCACAGCTATTTTTAATTCAACAAAGTGATGTAAAGTTGTTTTGCTGCTGGACATTTTGATCTTGTCCCATTGCCTCCTTCTGTAGTGCAGTGATGAACGTCTTTACTTTTTCTCGGTCCCGTTCCCTCTTTAGGAATCAAGTTTTGAAGCGTGTTCATAGCTGTATTTGAAGTTACTTACAATATTGTAACAGGGTAAGGTGGTGAAGCCTTAATAGCTGAAGGCCCTGTGTCCCGCTCTGACACACATCGTCTTCCTCTTTTCTCCCCGCAGTTGCAGTACCACGCAGGCCTGGCGTCCGGCCTTTTGAATCAGCAGTCGCTGAAGCGCTCTGCCAATCAGATGGGCGTGTCGGCCAAGCGGAGACCGAAGGCTCAGCCCACCACCCTGGTCCTGCCGCCTCAGTGAGTGACGGGCCTGCAGAAGCACTTTCGTGCTGGCTGGAGGGAAGCGTGCTTGCTTTGGGCTCAGGGAAAGTCATGTTTCTCTTAAAAGGAGTCCAGTAGGAGCAGAAACCAAGTGTGATGGTGACGTGATTTATGTGGATGTTTGCAAGGCATCTGCAATGCAGTTAACATATCTTGTGTGTGACTTTCCTACCTAGTGGGATTTTTAGATATTGCATAGTTTAATGTTTGCTTCCTTAATGCGGTCCCAAAGTTGGCAGAACATGAGGACCGTTGTCTATTCTACAGAGGAGGCAGCTGAGGGGCACATTTGATAAGCTGCAGGGGACCTGGGGTATCCCCAAGAGCGAGACCCAGGGTACAGCTGGCTTGTCGCATGTGACTGGTGACGTGTGTGCCCTTTCTCCCGCAAGGACGATCCCAGACATGTGAGAGTCCCGGAACATGCAGCTTGATGCCTTTGCACACGAGTGCACCCATGTAGCCAGAATCCCAGGAGGTCTCTCCTGCTCCCAGTCCACTCCTGTGCTCCTTCTTCCCTACATTTAACAGTTATGACTGCTTGAAATAACTTAATTAACACTGTCCTTGAACTTCATTTAAACTATGCAGGATGTCATCTTTTTTATCAGTTTTTTGTTGTTGTCCATCTGTTTCTTGTTTTGTGTTGTGTTGTGGATTAAATTTAGGGCCTTGGGCTTGCTGAGCACGTGTTCTGCCCCTGAGCTACACCCCCCAGGAAAGTATATCAGGTTTTTTTCACGCAACATAATATCTATTAGGTTCATCCAGGCAATTTGTTCTTTTTGTTGCTGTGTAATATTCCCTCGGTTGTGCCATGATTGGTCCATCTGTTACCCTGTTGAGTTGTTGTGTGGTAGAAAAATCTAGTAGGTGTGTGTGTGTCAGGCCTTGTCCAGTGACGTGGAGTCAGAAATGTGAGTATCCAGTCTCCACTGACAGCTTTCCTTTTGGTGTGCAACTCCCCTCAGGGGCTGCCCCCCAAGGGCTGAACATTTCCTAGCCTGTCCTGCTCCCTCGTATTTGCTTTTATTTACATCCCTATTTACAAACTGCGTTTCTACATTTCCTGCCCGATCTGATCGTTTCTCTTTGCGGAGATCTCGTTTATTTTCTGTTTCGTTAGCAAATATGTATTGTGCCTACTGCTAGCTATGCTGGGCAGTTCCAGGCCCTGAGATATAATCACGAGCAAGATGGACGCAGCCCTAACCCTGACACTTTTAGTGGAGGGTAAAGGCGGGGGTAGCCTGAATGCATCCAGTCACAGTGAGTGCTCGGAAGGAAAGAGACAGCAGTGAGGAGTGGAGAGTAGGAACCTGCTTCCATGGGGCAGCAGCTGAGGCGGCCTCCGCGGGGCGGAGACTTGAGGCTGAGGCTGAAGTGGGGAGCAGGGGACGGGAAGCAGGAGCCGCCGAGGTCAGTGCCTGTGGGCCCTTTCTCCTGCAGAGCTGGGCACTTTTCCACCACCCTTCTGTGATCCTCAGATTCCCTTCACTGCTCACGTTTCTTCCCACACAGAACAAACAGCCAGCCTACTTCTGCTAAATTGTGTGCTACGTGCATGCACAGGTGTTGTGTGTTTTGAAAAGCAGCTGATTTAAGAAACAGCAATCCCGGCACTCAGGAGGCAGAGGCAGGAGGGTCACTGTGAGTTCAAGGCCAGCCTGGGCTACATGGTGAGTTCAAGGCCAACCTTTACCTCACAGCGAGACCTGTCTCAAAATGAAAAGAAAAGGAAGCAGAAAGCTTCTTAAGGAACACCACCGTGTTGTCATGTGCTGATGTGGTGACTCTGTACCCCTCACCTTGCAGCCCTCTCTAGTCTGGTGGGCCTTGTAGCCTGTCACTTTCTCTGTGTGGATTGTCTGCGAGGCAAGATGTTTACTGAGAAGTGAGAGACTTTCTGATGGTCCCATAAGACTGGAGCGGAGAAGCATTTGTTGCTAACTCTCTCTTGACAAAAGTCAGTTCTCAGTCCATCTGTTCCCTGTTTGTTAATTTGCACTGGCTGGAAACCTGTTCACAGGTGACAGGTCATTATGAAGATTCTCAGAGACTGTGCTAAGCACCTCAGCAATCGACAGACTTTGTTCTGATGCCAAAGGAAGAAAGAGGTGTTCACAGCTGTCATTATAAATTTATAATAAATCACTCAAAATACTTAGTTTCAAAGGGGAAAGTGGTTAGTGAGTCCCAAGAATACAACAACAAAATGATTTCCTATATTTAGCAGCCTATTTCCTGCAAAAATTGACTGCTGCTTTTTCACATCATTGAACTTCTTGAGCTCACATTATACTGGAATCTCTCTCCTTCCTGCGGTGCTGTCCAGGAGGCAGACTCCTCTTGTACTTCTGTTGAGCACCTACTATGTGTCACTCAGTGTTTTATGTCCACCAGAAATTTGACATAGCTTCTGACCTAATTTTATAAAATCTTTATAGAAGTTTTTTAAAGTTAAAAAAAACAGAGAGCGGGCCAGGGATTTAGCTCAGTGGTGCTGCCACCTGCCTCACAAGTGCAAGGACCAGAGTTTGAATCCCAGTACCAAAAAAAAAAAAACACTAGCAATAGAACAACAAAGATAACAAAAAAATTCTGTCATCCCAAGAAAGGTACTGTTAAGATCTGGATGGCTATCATTCTAGACCCTTTTTCCTATAGACATGTAGTATATAGTTCTTTGGGTTTTAGGTTTTTTTGTTTTGTTTTTGGTACCGGATATCGAACTCGGGTCCTTGCGCTTGTGAAGCAGGCGGCGGAACCACTAAGCTAAATCCCCGGCCCCAGTAGTAGTATAGTTCTTACAGACAAAGCCCTAAAAAGGGTTACTGTGTAATATTGTTCTGGATTATATCCGAACATATTATTGAAGGTAACTGTTAATGTAAGGCAGCATAATTTGATCTATGGAATATTTGAATTTGCCTGTTAATAATGATGTTACTATTGTGTTCTACTCAAGACGCCAAATTATAAAATATTTCTATTATAAGTATGACATGACCACAAATGAAGTTTGTCATTAAGGAAATCCCTTGAACCCCTTCTGAAACAGCCACGTCCTCCTTGGTTGCTATTGATTAACTGTTGCTGCAGAACAGACTTCCCCCACTGAAATGTTACCAGTGACATTGTCTCAGAGGGTCTCGGGGCAGCCTGTCTGGGCGACTCCAGGCCACTCTGGCATCAGTTGCAGGGCGATGGTGGGCAGGGCCACAGTCACCTAAAAGCCCTGCCGAGGTCTGAGTTCGGTGCAGCAGGCAGGCTGGCCCTGGCCGTGGCAGGAGGCCTCTCCCGACTGCTTGAGTTCCCTCATGAGATGGCAGTCTGTTGCGTCCGCAGCCTCAGAGAATGAGAGCCAAGGGCTGTCCTTTCCATGTCCTGGCTTGGACAGCACAGTGTCCCTTGTACCCCATTGCATTAGGAATGAGTCACTTTGACAGGGGGAGCAGACAGGCTTCTTTCTGAGTGTCATGTGTGGACGTTTTTTGAGACCACCTGGTTACTTGCAGGAAGGGGGATCACACAGGAGAGGGCTGGCCCAGTCCACTGACTTCCTCTATAAATGCTCTCGCAGGCCTGGGAGACCATGGCTGAGTGCGCTGTGCTGGGGCCTCGGGGCAAGGCTTTGGGGACGCTCTGAGGAAGCTCTGAGTCCAGACAGGGATGAGCAAGCAGCTGGATGTGGTAGCGGTGAGTGCCAAGTCCCGGTGAAGGACATGGTCCGGCGGTGCCGAGAAGCAGGGGCGAGGGTTACTCTTCTGCCAGCAGTGAAGAGTGCAGGCTTGGTCAGGAGCGCTCAGCGCTCTCGTGGGCCTCCGGGATTCTGAGGACAGGCTTGTTTCTAGACAGGGAAGGAAGCCAGCGCGGCCTGGGGCCGATTCCCTACGCACCTCCTCTGCACTGGCACTGCTCCGCTGTACTGAGACCACAGGCGTGGCAAGAGCACAGATTTGTATGATGTGTTTGTTTTTCAAATGCAGTTGGCGTTAACAGTAGTAGTCTTTGAAGATTCCGATTCCCCCCTGAGTTCCATAGGATGAGCAATTTCTGGGATTAATGATTCATATCTTCTCCCTTTCCAAAGAAGCTCCCAAGAAGATGAAGATGTTTGTGCTCAAAGATCTCTCGCCACGTAGTAGGACGCAGCCTCCCTTCCGTGACTCCCCAGTGTTCCTCTAAGTCTGGCAGCATGGCCGCCATCTTTCCACAAAGAGGCTGTGCCCTGTTACTGGGTAAAGGTTGCTAGGCTTTGCCCCTTGTAGGGTGAGGTCAGCCAGGACAGTGGCCTCTCATTTGAGCTATCTGTGTGTTTAATGTTGGTCAGGCGGACCTGTGCCTACTAGTGCCCTCGCTTAGATAGCAGCCCCGACTTTGCAGTAGAGTTTTGGTGTGCTTCTGAGTGATCAGTGTGTCTAGGCCGAGGGGCCTGTGACTCCTGGTCTCAGCAGCTGAGGAGGTACTTACTGGCTTCTATGGCAGCAGAGGTTAAAAAAGGCACGGCAGACCTAGGTCTCATTTAGATTTGAGGGGAAAAATCATTCTAAAATGCTACCCAGCCCATGAAAGTGGGGCTGGGCAATTTCTTTTATATCATGCTGTCTTCCATGCAGAGGTCCTGTGCCCACCAGATGGAAGATACACTTCCTTCGATTGGCTTCTCTCTCTGGCCGCTGGGAAGGAACTGTCTGTGCTGCATCTGTCACCTGGGTCCGAAGCCCTCGACTTCCCTGAGCCGTTCCTCCATCAGTCTTCTTTCTCAGTCCTTACCGTGGGTGTTCCCTTCTCCCGGGTCATTCCTGCTAGGAGACAAAGCATGCTTGCCCAAAAACCTGCCTCCTGGTAGAAACCCATCTCTCCTCTTTAGAGCAGAACTCTTCTCAGGAGCTGGCTGCTTGCCTACAGGTTCTCTACCACCCCGGCAGTCACCAACACAGTCGCTATCCCTTTGCTTTTTGTCTCTAGAACTT